AAGAGATCGAAAACAGATATTTGAAAGATCACCACATCAATTGAATACAGAGTGTTAACTACAAATCTTAAATAGACAAAATCTAACACTTGAAATTTATGTTAAAAACGCAAAATAGATGTTTCTGTTAATTCTGGTTTGCACACTTTTCTTGGTCCCTTGTGTAACCCTTTGAATTAACGTCATAGGAATAATTACTTCTTTTGAGTTTTGAATCTGGGTGGCTAGAAAAGATTACCTTTGATGCAAAGAACATTTATTTAGAGGAGAGCCAATAAATTATGAAACAGTCGATCAAAATTTTTTGTACATAGGTAAAAATACAAATCAATTGCAAAGTAAACATTCCCACGAGGGTGATACATGTACTGTGTGAACCTGTTGTTTCTATGAACAATGGGAACGAACCTACTTCTAGTGTAATTTTGCCAAGATCTCTTACCAAAAGCCTCAGTGGTCTAGCGGTAGTGCACATTTAAAAATTCAAATTAAACGGCGGCTGTATCCCCCCCAGCCGTCGTTTAATTTAGTTGTTAAAGCACTTCGGAGGGGCTAAGGCCCCGTTGGTCAGTTTTCTTTTTCTTTTTAATCTTTAAAGAAGTAGAATTTTAGTTTATTTTAATATCTCCCAGAAGTTATTCTAGAAGATTTTGTTTTTTTTGAGAAAAAAAATCCTAGGAAAAATCCTCAGATATCGTAAAATCAAAATATTCTGATTTATAAAGTAAACGGAAATTAAAAACTTAAAATAAATAACAGAGGGTAAAATGACCGCCAAGTCTGCGCCGAAGTCATGCACGAAACAACAAGAGCACAGAGGTAAAGACGTAACAAACGTAAATCAGTAGAAATCCATTACAATTTCTGGAGAACGAGAGGATTTACTTCGCAAAATATCGAGAATCACAAGTGGTTCTGCAAAATGTGAAGCGTGAAACTTAAAAAATATGAAATAAACCTGTAATCCTACGAAATGTTGGTTCTTGAAAACTAGAAATGAAATGATGTTCGCCTCACTAAATACAGTTACAACTTTTGCTCCGTGGTTTCCGTTTGTCTTTCATATATATATACCTAAAAATATAAATGGTAGTAACATGAGAATGAAACTTCATCCTTATTAAATTGAATAATTTTAACTTCATTTTATCTTAGTTTTCATCAATCTTTCACCAGACACAAGATTTTTTCGTACACGTTTGTATGACTGTTGTTCATTATTCCAATAGAAGGTTTCGCTTACAATTAGCAAGATACTACTTACCGTATTTACCCGTGTATAATGCGCGCCTGTGTATAATACGCACCCTAATT